CAGAGGCCCTTAGGGCCTGAAGCAGTGACTCTCCTTCCTTGGAGGTTTTTAAGCAGCGCTTGGATGGCCATCAGCCATGGATCACCTAGTTGAGATTCCTTCATCGCAGGGGGTTGGACTAGATGACCCTCAGGATCTCTTCCAACTCTACAATTCTATGATGCTATGTGTTTTAGTTTTTTTAAAGAAAATCTTTATTAATTTTCACATAAACAAATATACATGGATTACATAACATATAAAACAGAAAAGGATACAAAATAGAAACAATGAAATAAGAAAAGATAAAAAAACAAACATAAACAAATACAATATATTACACTTACATGACAGATTAAAATATATAACTTCCAATAATTCTCATTATACTGCTTGTATTATCTGTATTCCTTGCAGATTTGTATTATTGTGTTTTGTATATAGATATATAATCCACTGTTGTATTTTATGTAATTCTTGGTTACCAGTACCACTCTATTTCTGCAAGTATCTTATTGTTCATACAGCACGTTTTTAAGTATTCTTTAAATATTTTCCATTCCTTATAACTGTATACCTTTTGATTTGACACATGATGCTATGTTTTAAAGAGCATCCAATGCGCCTTTAAAGCACACCACTTCCCCCGAAATGATTTGTGCCATTGTGGCTTCCCTCTCACAGACCTACAATCCCCAGAACCCCTAACAAACTACAATTCCTAGGATCGTTTGGGGGAAGACACCTGGTTTTTAGAACAGGGATGGAGAACCTGCAGTTTGCTCACCCCCATTTCCTAGGAACCAGAAATGGGAAGCGCAAGTTCTTCTAACAGTATGGTTACAGGGAGCAGCATGTATAAAATATTGAATGTAATAGGGTTATTAAGGTAACTGTATCAGAATTATCATAGGAATGTTAAGGAGGGAGGGAGGGAGGGGGAAAGAGAGATTGTGGAATTCTGGTGGTGAGTGATGATTGGATGAGGAGTTGAAAGGGAGTTTGAATGTGAGGCAGTTGAGAGTCAGTTGAGAGCAGTGGGTTCTGGAGGGGGTGGTTGGGCAACTAACTATTCAGTTTAGGTTCAGTAGTCTAGTCATCATTTTTGTAATAAAGCAGCATGTACGATAAAGAGAATTTGAGGCCATAAGCTCAGGTACACACGCCATCCTACAATCATTTAGAGAATCATCCATACAGTCTCCTTTAGTGAGGGTGCAATACCTAGGATCTGGACCAAACATTGATATTTTTTTTTGATTTTTTTTTTTGCTCTTTTCTAAGTTTCATAGGTTTATGTTCTGGTTCTAATGATGTAATAGGGGTTGGGGCTCTTTAAATACTGGGGGCTGCCACACACTCCTTTTCTTCTTAAAAAAAATAATACCCGGTAATTTCCCCTCGTTTTCAAAAGCACATGCATTGTCTCCTTCTTCAGGTTCTTCAGTTACATTTCTTGTGAGACATTGGTGTTATATGCAGTATAGGGTTGGGAAGAAAGGGGGGCCTCATCGTGCAGATTATCATGAACTGAGATTTCAGTTTGCAAGTGGAGTATGAAAGCAAACACAGATGGGAAAGAAGTCTGATGCTGCCTCAATAAACCTCAGTTAGCCATAAAAAAGCTGATGGGAAGCCATCACAATGCAGTGTATGCAGCAAAACTTTAAAGGAAACTCAGTTTGCCACTGTGAGGCACTTCTTGGCTTAGTCTTATCAATAATTCTCTGCAAATACCAGAAAACAATTGTCTAAAGAAAGTTGACGAAATCAAACTCTTTCCTCCCCCTTTTGTGGCCAATGAATCTACACCTAGAAAGAAAGAGAGAGAGAGAGAGATCACAGGGAAGAGAGTTGGCTGTTTTTTTTATGGCTAGTTTAAATGAGTTCTTTGGTACTGTTATTGCACATTGCTTTTTTAAATTTTTCAGATGGAATTGCAATACTCTCTGTCATGTTTCCTCCTCGCAACAAACCTGCAAACCATTTTTCAGATGGGAAACTAATGTCTAGAGATAGCAACTTGTCCAAGACCTCACAAAGAGCATATGGAAGAGGAAAGACTTGAAAACAGCTCTCCCAAATGGACAGTTTTCTAATTCTTGGCTCTTGAGGTGCAGCAGAGCCTCTAGCCAAAATCTGCTCATTTCTTTGTGCAATCATATTTCTGGAGTGTCCATTTTTGTGTGTGCTGTGGACAAGAGCCAGAATAGCGGTTATTCAGTCTTAGCTCTGCCATTAGATCTTGTAAACATTGAGATCAGATGTGTTTACACTGTCTGTACTCCAAAAAGTGGGTCTTTGGGATGCAAATGACTATTGCTGCCTGTAATTGTATACCTAACCCTGTAAGGAACTGTATGTTAGACACAACTAAAATAGATCAGTTTTGTTAATCTTTCTCTACAGTTCCTAACTTTTTAATATTTGATGAGATTTTAAGGGCCAGCAGCCTTACACTTATTTAATTTTGTTTATTTGAAAGTTTTATATCCATGATGGGAGAAGTGGAAATCTGCATGTAAGACTTAGCTAATAATATTTCCTCCCTAGCTCTCATTTCTTCATATTTTTTCCTTACCCATTGACATTGTTATCATACACCCTGTTGAACAGGCAAATGACCCTGGCGTTATCTTCAACTGTCTCTGGGCTGAATCTCTCTCTCTCTCTCTCTCTCTCTCTCTCTCTCTCTCCTTTGTTCTCCATAGTCAGTCCTTTGCCAAGTGATGTTGCTTCTCCCATTACAACTTGTACAAAATGGCTGAATAGTTTCATTTCATCATATGAGGTATAAAAACATCCTTATGATCAGGTCTGTTTTCCATGAGACTATAGTTGTTAATTGACATCTATTCATATTTGGATCCTCTTTATCAGACAGGTATATAAAATCGTATTTTATTCTTAGTAAGCAATGCTTAATTTCTAAAATAAGATATGCTGGACCTCAAGACTTTCAAGAAATAATGCCTTTGATTTAGAGTCATTTCTCCATAAACTGAGATGTGGGATGATTAGTTCTATTTTTAATCAAGGATAAGCTAAAAGAATGGCACACTGCACATGCTCAAAGTCACTCTTTAGAATTGTTTCTCACATTGCAGGGTTGAAGTGCTACACAGAAAAAAAATCAGGTTCTATAGGACTCCTATAGGACCCCAACCTATTGAGCAAGTAACATCTTTTAGATATCTTGGAATAATTTTTGATGAGAAGGGATCTTGGTGCCATCAGATTAAGAATTCCATTGTAAATGCGCAAAGATCTTCCAGAGCTATCATAAGATTCTTCTACAGAAAAGGTGGTCAATATGTTCCTGCTGCCTCCCAGGTCTTTGTTGCAAAAATACTTCCACAATTGATGTATGGCACCCAGATATTTAATTGTCAAAAATTCAAGTCCCTGGAATCTGTACAAACTAAATTTTATCGTTCCCTACTAGGGTTACCTACCTGTGTCTCTAACACTGCCATTAGGCTGGAGGTAGGTCAACTCCCTATTAATGCCAGGATATGGATCCTGAAGATTCACTTCTGGCTAAAACTCATATTTTTCCCAGTGGGAGTGGCTCCATTGACTCTACTAGACCCGTTCCAGTCTAAATGGAGATTGTCGCTTTATGAAAAATTGAGGGGCCTGGGGCTTTCCCCACAAGAACTCATAGCCTCAGGCTTTGAAAAGGCTAAAATGATGGTGAGCCAGCGAATAGGAGATGTAGAGCTTCAGGACCATATGAGCAAGATAGATAAATATCCAGCTATCCAAGATTATGGAAAAGGGTTTAATCTAACCCCATATTTGCTGGACCTACAAATCGCAAAATATAGGCGGGCGTTTACCCTTACCAGATTTGATGTATTGCCATCTGCCTTACTAAAGGGCAGATACGAGGGCACACCCTATGCTGAACGAGTTTGCCCATGTGGTCTGAAGGAGGTGGAAACGGCTTCACATGTGTTGTTACACTGCGACCTTTACGGGGATATCAGGTTACTGTTTATCTCCCCTATCGTTCAGAAATTTCCAGGTCGATCTGAATCTCAGCGGCTGAAAATCCTACTAGGAGATAAAAACCCAGAAGTAACACTGAAAGTGGCCAAGTTTTCTGCGGCCGCGATCAAGCGGAGGGCATTAGCTGTAAAAAAGTAAAAGATCTGACCCCTGGATAAGCCCCCCCCCTTTTTTTAAGCCCATACATATACTGTAGTGCATATATGAGTATGTATATATGTGTGTGTGTGGGTGTGTGTGTATATGTGTATTGTTTTTATGTATAATTTTACAACTTTTAATTGACACCATCATTCCCTTGTAAATTACTGCTGCCTTTTATGTTTTTTTCTTTTCTTCTGGTCTATGACCGTAATAAATTTATTCATTCATTCATACACAGAAAAAAAATCAGGTTCTATAGGACTCCTGTCCCAAATGGCCATTTGACGCATTATGTTGTCTTTGATGAGTATCTATTAGGAAATGAAACATGAGGAACATATGAAATGTGACCAACCCATAATTTGTAAAAATATGTGCTTCTTACAGAAAGTCATGTTTAGATGCAACTCTCCTTCATGCCTATTGCTGAATAGAAGCCTGTTACTTATTCTGAGATTGTATAGATGTTTAATTTAACATTTTACCAACCACAATACTGGGTCTGTATTTTGGATTACTTATTGGAATTTATTGATTTGTTCTGATTTGTTGCTCTTTTGTGGTATATATTTCAGGTTCTATTTTATAAGTTACTCTTGAATAATTTGGGTGCTTCTAGATAGGTATTTACTGTGAGCTCAGTGCTTATCGAGGATGCAATTCTTATTTTTTTGCAGCACCAATTTTGATGGTATCATTGCCATCAAAATGTCAGCCTGTAATTTCCCACTCCCTCAATTAATCCAGAATTATTCTTTCCAGGGAAATCAGGGTGGGTGGGTGGGTGGGATGATTAGTTAACACACACAGACACACCCGTTGACAGCAACCTGTTTGCAACATCTGAATGGCCTGTTTGCAGTATGAAGCTCCTCATTGGAAACACCCTTTGTGTAGAGAAGTGAGATAAAAGTAATTAACTAAACCACATTAAACATCTCATTTCTTCTGAAAAGCGTCCTTTGGTGCTGTGGAATAAGTTTTAGGATGATATTCAAACTAATATATTTCAATTATTAGTTGCTTCCTATGAAGCATCTCAAAGCAATGCCACACTAAAGGATAATGAAACATAGAGGGGGCAACAACCATTTTACATATAAAAACAATTTAAACATTTTCAAGTCAAGTACACAAGCTCTTTTGTGTTATTCTAAATATGCATGTGTGTGATTTATTTTTTAACTCTACACATGCACGATTAATATTAGTACCCGTAATAACAAATTGTAAAAGCGCCCTAACCAGTTCTCACAGTCTACTTTCCCTAAGTTCCGGGTCACTTTCTGGGGCGGACCTAGCATCTCTTGTCACCTGGATATTGTTTCGATGGTACCTTCAACGACTCGCTTCGACTCCGTTACTCCCCGCGACCCCAGGGCCCAGGCTCCCAAACTGTTTCCTTGTGGGAGGTGGGGGGCTTTGGAAGAAACAAACAAACCCATGGAGCTAACCGCCGCACCCATCCTTTCCAGGCTTCTCCTGCCCCTCCGCGCGACTGTGGATGCGGTTGCCGAGACAACGGAGCCCCAGCATCTCTCGTCTCCTAGCAACCGTTGCCCGAGCAGCCGAGCGCTGCTAAGGCGGGCATCTCCAGCTCGCTCCCTCCTTCCCTCCTTCCCTTTCTCTCCTCCCACCCGGCGCTGGGACCTGGCCAGACGGGGAATGCGCAAGCTCCGGCCCGGCCAGGCGGACGGCTTAGTTGCATCCCCATCATGGCGCTCAGGCGGCGGGCGCTCCTTCTCCTGCTGTTGCTTCCCATGTTCCGTGAGTCTCGCCCGGCTGGGGAGCGGGAGAGGTCCGGGGTTTGGGGGCGGCGGGTCGCGCGGGCTTTGCCTAGAGGGACCCCGGTTTTTTTGCGGGGGGGATAACGAGGCTGAGCGGTTTGCAGCGGGGTGGGGAGATCATACTTCAGCCCCCTCCCCCGCCCATCATTGTTTTCAGCAGCCACGAGTTGGAAATTTGAAGGGGCGGGGGTGCCGGGCTGCTGTGCAAGCAGGGCGGGGGGCATGCGTGAGCTTTGCACCCTTCCCATCATCGAGGAGCGAAGGCTGCCTGGGACAATAGAGGCTATTGAGGGTGGCTTTTGCATTCACAAATGTGTGGCTTGGGGAGGGTTTTTTTTAGGGGGGGGGGGACGTTGAGTTTTGCAACGGAGAGGGCAGCAACATTTATTCAAACTAGAAGGGAGGGATGAAAGGGAAAGTTTTAGCCCACTTTTTTAAAGTGGTGAGAGAAAGTCTTTCCCCTTTTTTTGGTGGTGCTCTGTGCTGTTAAGACCGTACTTAAAAATAAGATGTTGATGTCTGTGTGGTATGGAACCTCACAGCAGCCTTGGAGTAAAAGCCACTGTACTAACAAAGTATTTAAAAGTTAACCAGGTGTAAGGTTTGGAAACATTTCCGCAGCTGAGAGTCCCCTGTCCCCCCGCATATTTATTACAGTTAAAAATGTGTTTATCTATTTAAAGTGTTTTGATCCTGTTTTTCTGCCCCCAAAAGGCTCCCAGAGCTGCTTACAAATGTCAAGGATAAGATAGTCCCTGTCCTTGGGTTTATAATCTGAAAAACACTGAGACAAAAGGGAAAGGGTTTTCCCCCCCCTGCACTTAAAGTACTAACAAAGATTCTCCCTAGCTCAGTCCATCCCATCCAAGTAAACAGATATCTGAAGTGTGCATGCACACGAAAGCTCATACCAAGTTGATCTCTAAGGTGCTACTGGAAGGATTTTTTATTTTATTTTTTACTATGGCAGATCAACAGGTTACCTACCTGTAGTTATTTTAGGGTTGGGGTAGGGGGTATGATGGAAGTGACTAGACTTTGTTTTAGTACAATACAGGTAGAAAAACGGAAATTGTGGGTCACCATTTTTATAAAAGTTTCGTGTCTCTTTTAAAAATTGGCATTAGCACTCATTACTCCCATCTGCATGCAATTTGTATGTGTATTCAAAATATATGCACACACACAAATACCCCAACCCCAAGATTTAATTATAAAATAAGAGGGGAAGGTGTGTTTTCCCCACCTCCCCAATCCAATGACTTGTTTTTTGTCTTGGTACCTTTGAAGAATATGACAGTGAACCCCACCCCCCACCCCAATAAGAAATAAGGGAACTTGCTTCCCTAAAACTCTCTCCATAACTCAAGCACCACCCCCACCTTTCCAGAGGATGAGGGAATCAGGAATGTGATGGTTGGCCAGGCAGGCAGAGTTGATACTGGATCCTATTCACTTGGCAACAGAGACACCCTTTGTTCCTGGAGCCCCATGCAAATGTTTGCAGCTTTAATTGCAAAAACATTTGTTAATTCCATTCACGAATGAGTTGGGACTTGCTTGTCTGGCTATTAATAAAAGCCCCAGGGAGGGAGTTGGAGAGTGGCAGTCACAGTTTGGGGGAGGGGGGGTCTCTCTCAACCATTTGTGTCCTCAACCCCAGACAGACAGGCAAAATAGAGATAAATGTGGTGTTTTTTTAAATCCTGAAGTAATACTTATCTCCTGTGTAAATTATTGCTTGCGATAACCACACACAAATGTGCGTCTTCTCTTGCAACTGCCAGAAAAATACACAATCTCACATAGGTTTTTTTCTACAAAGAAATGCCCCTCTGGAGTAGGCATTTTGAAGGGTAGCGCTCAAAGATCTTCTGATACTACTTTTCCAAACTTTATTTCAGTTTCTACAGTCTATTATGCCTTTGGTCTGGGAGAGTAACAACAGTTTAAATAACACATCTGAGCCTATTTGCAAAACAGCTGTGAAATACCAAAATGTGTCTGTTACAGACTGTGGAACAAGTTATAAAAATTCTGACTGATACCAGATTGGCGCATATAGCATTCAGCACTCACGGTTCTTTACAGAGTGGCATTAAAAGGTTCCTGCCCTAAGCTCTTCAGAGTGTGAATTGCAAACATCAGTAAATGTCAGGCAGGTTACCGAACATGGGACCCACATTTGCCATTATTTGAAGATCTTCACAAGCTTTTTTTTTTGGACACAATTAAAGGTGCTAGTTTTAACTGCCCCCATGATCTTCAGATGAAGGGCAGTATACAAATTTAATAAATAAAATAAATAAAAATAAAACCAATGCAGCTCTAAATAAATCTAAAACCAGTTTATCTAAACAACTACCTTCTCCCATAAAACTTGCATTTCGCTAGAATCACCGCTCCTGCCCTGGAGGATATTGGAGACAGAGCATTCCCTGAATCTTCCAATTTTAATTGGAAAAAAGTCCGGGGGGGGGGGGCTATCTCTGTGTACGTAAATTAGAATGATTTGCCTAGGGTAATTTGCAGCAAAATATTTTCAGTTTGCATCAAAACAGATTCTGATACCACGGTTGTCTAATACTGCATTTGAAGCCTTTCCTTGTCACTACTGACCTTATGAAATGGAGAGAAAAAAATCCATGGAAAAATAAAGGACTGGGGGGGAAACCCCCCCTCAATAATTCTATGCCACATTACTGAATGGTTTTTAGTTTGTTAATTCTGGAATTTAGGATTCTTTTTTGTTAGCTGCCTTGAAGACTGAATCTGACAAAAAGACAAGAAATGTGGGTCTGTGTGTATTAACTGTGTGCATACTATACATGTATGTATTTTAAATAAAACATCTACATTCCCAACAGAGGACAGTGACAGAGAGGAATGAGAAGATAAGGGATGAATCCAAGAAAATTAATAAATTTAAATAGGTATACTGTATACTAATTTTCTGCTTACCAGTCTAAAAAAACCAGTTTACAACGATAAAAGAAATAGCACTCTAACAGTGGAATCTTATACATGTCTATTCAGAAGCAAGACCCACTGAGTTCAGTGAGTTTTACTTCCAAGTAACTATGCATAAGATTGCAGCCTAAATCACAGTGTGCTATTGAAGGGACAGGATTAATAATCAAAACAGCAAAATACAGACCGCAGCAATAAAACAATAAGGTAACCAACATCATCTAAAAATCTATAGCTGCAGCGGGCCTTTACATAGAAGCTTGATAAAAACAACTGAAATAAATTTAAATACTGGTCGCCAGCAAAACCATTAAAAATAATAGGTGAAATAATTATTTTTTAATTAGGATACTAGTGTAGTCACTTACTGTAATGCTTGATTTTTTTGTTTTTATATATGCTGTAAGCCACCCAGAGTGGCTGGGGAAACCCAGCCCAGATGGACAGGGTATAAATAAATTACCGGTATTATTATTATTATTATTATTATTATTATTATTATTATTATTATTATTACGGTGGGGGCTCCTGAAGAAAGCACTACGTTTCAGATCTCAATGGATCAGATGAGTTCACATAGAAGAAGGTCCATGCTTTTGGGTTCAGTTTGGGATAGAGATTATGGATTCACAGAAAAAAACAGATTTTGAGGAGGGATTTGAGGGAACAAAGAGACATAACCATATACATAACCATCACAACCATATTAAACCATAAAAACAATCAAGTGGAGGAGGGGTTTGTGTCCCCGTGTCCAAGAGGAATTCTGGGTTATGAGGCTAGATCTGATGAAGCTGGTTTATATATTTCCCCCCATATGGGGGATCAGCCAGTGTATGCTCCTCCTTTCCAGCAGGTTCTGCAAAGCGCTGAACAGAGCCTCAGTTGAATGTCTGCTACCTCTCCCACATTCCATCTTGTGACTAAATGCAGACGCCATCCATGGCTCCAATTGTCACATTCTTTTCCAGCATCTCACCCTTGTTTTATATAGCACCTAGCCAAATTAAGAGTTCTGGAGAACTTGAAAGCTTGCATATATTATTCTGTCACAATTTGGTCAGCCAGACAAAAAAGTACAGCCCTAATGTGGGTTTTGGAATTTTACCTAAATTCTGTCTCTCCTCTGTCAAGATTCTTTAAAAATGTTGAGTACTACTAGAACTACTACATCCTCTTCTCCATGGGAGTAAATTTTACTGAATCCGTGAGACTGATCTCCAAGTCAACATGCGCAATGTTCAAAGTGCTTTACTGTTCTTTGCTTCTTTATAACCGCAAGACAGATAATTCAAGCCAAAAAGAGAGTGACTTGCTATAGCCCATTCCATACAACTTCTAAACGAAGTAGTGATTTTTATGGGGTGTCCTATACTTAAAACCAGCTGTTTGGCCACTGCCCTGCACTCCTAATTTCTTATAACCCCACCAACTCCTCAACCTTGGGACAGAATCGTCAGCGAGGATTTGCATCCTATGGTGTGCTAAGATAGTTGAGAGTCATGAAATTCTTCAGAGTCACAAGTGGGTTTTGTGCCTACAAAGTTCTTTTTGTAGCATTATAGTAAGAATATCTTGAGAGTCCCTGCAACCACCCCCTTTAAAAAAAAAAGTAACATCCAGCTGTCGTTCAAGCAAGCAAATGCTCCAAGCCAGCTGTCTAGGCCCGTGGAAGCTTTTTGTGGGATTGTAGATTTTAGACTTTCAGACTTCTCAATTGGGAAGGGGGACTTGAATGCCAAGAATGTCATTAGGGCAAGGAGCTGCATGCATCATTAATGTGCAGTAACCAGGGCAGTTGCATGCAAATACAAACTCATCGAGCGGAGCCAAAATTGGGCGTTTCAAATGGCAAGTTCAGTAACATCCTTTAGGCAGGATTTGGTGTTTTTCATCCAGCAGTAAATAACCAGCAACTTCGTCAAACCGTAAGAGAAGCATCTGTGCGTTCCTCTTGCCTGGGTCCACTCTACAGCTGTTGGCAAAGAATGTGTGATACTAGCAAGCTGC